TGGACTGAGCAGGATGGGAAAACGCAAATCACGCCAGGCCCAAATCCGCTAGCTAGGGAGCACCGAACAGGAAACGACAGCAACGAAACGAAACTGATCGGCACCGCAATAGCTCTGGACAGTTATGAAATCCTGAATAGACCGGCTGATGCTGATGGCCCTTAAAATACCCCGTTCATCTCCTAGAGTTGATCATATAAAATAATAAGGGCTACAGGTAAAAACTAAAGCTCAATTAAAAAAAGCAAAGCCCACTAAATTATTGTGAGCTTGCAGGCACAAATAGTGCGTATCAGGGTTCCTATTCTGTCGAATGGAAACTAGCAGTTTGAGTAAAATTAGTAAACACATAACCCCTGGGGCTAGATTGTCTACAGAAACGCATATTAACATCATGTAAACCGGATGCCCCCGAAACTTATCGTCCCTGACGGCAAGGGAACAAAATCCGTGCCCACGATCTTAAGAAAACACAAATTTGCATGACCGCAGGGTGCTACAAGAAGCCGATGAATGGACACTGAGTGAGCCTTGGTCAATATACCCTATATTGAAAGCGCTCTAATGTGCTAACGTAAGTCAATTTCTGCTTGGCTTGGATCACTGAACTAGTTTATGTTCTCGTTTCTTTGGATATCACAGAGACAACGCTGACGATTTTTTTTCCAAAAGAAATCAGAGGACACACTTATTTAGTTGATGTCACGCATGTAATATGAGTTTTGCTTGCGTTGCTATCCAACTTCAAGCACAGCCCCTTTGTGATTGTAGCACAGCTTCTTTGTGATGTATTACATTCATTCATCTGTGGCATGTGCGCGCGATAGATTTTAATCATATCTGTTATCACATACTGTATATGTTCTATGTATTAACTCCATGGGCTATGGTGAAACCGAAATTGACGTTGAAAAAGCTGAGTGATCTAATGGACCAATAACGCCAATTTCTTTACGACGAATACATTAATTAGAAAACAGAAACAAAACACACGGCGGATTTCGACTCCGTGCCTTACCGACCTCACAGGACCTGTGCTAAAGCAATAGGCCCTAACATAAGAACTCTTGAGCTACATGTCTATGTTATGTTATGCTACACGTGATGTTCCGCGCTGGAATCTCACCAGCTCTCCCGCTCTCAGTTTCGCTTCAACGACGGTGAACCCGGGGCGAGTGCCAACACGTCGGGGATGGGTGAGCGCCAACCCTTATTCACCTCATGATGAGTCAAAACTTCGCCGACCAACCGCAGCTTTACACTGTTCCTTGGCGACGAAGAGGCGCATTCGAACGCCTTGTGTTGGACCGCCGGCAGGAGCAGTTCGGCGCCCCGCGCCAGCTCCGTCGCAGCCCCATACCGGCTAATGCCCCGCGGCGATCGCAGGGGTCGCCCGACCAATCAGCGAAAGGCGGGACGGCCGGCCACGCGCGAGACAGTTCACGGCTCAAGGTCAGCCTCCCTCGCAGCAGAACCACCGGGCGGCCGGTAAAAACAGCGATGCTCAAAGAATCACAAAAGTCACAATTCGTGCGGTGCCTAGCAGCTCCTAAGTTGTTTGGACAGGAATAATCCTTTAATACCACAAGGACGTAAGCTTTGTGTGATTGTGTTAGGCACGAGAATATGTTTAATCAGCCACACCATTCGCAATTTGACACAGCTGCCTCCTACGCCCGGCGACCAATCCGTCCTGTCGTCGTCGCCCGGCCAGAGCGGGGGTCGGCCGCCCGCCGCGACCAGCGCCGACAGAGCGGCCCCCTGGGGCGAATTATCACGGCTCGCAGGCCGGTCACGGCCGAGGACAGCACGGTCACGGACCGCGGCCGTGAGCGCCGGCCGCCGGTAGCGGAGCCGCGCCCCGAGCGGCCCCCCAACAGCGCGAGCACGGCTCGGCGCCGCGTGCTCGCGCCCAGTGTCTTCGCCTGACGGACGGATGCCGTGCGAGCGGAGCGGCGCCAGATTGCCGCCGGCACGCGCCCGCGCCTCGTCGTCGAGACCTGTTTGCCCCGTTCAGACCGGCCGGCTGACCGGTGACGGGCGCCGGGCGTTTTTGTTGATGGAGAGACCAAAGCGAACTTCCTACCAATTTGTCGGGCCGCTTTTGGCTCCAGTCAATGCAAGGAGGCGCACTGGGAAGGCCCCGCTGGGAAACGCAGAATCGCCATCGGACCGCGCCCCACACTGGATTGTCAAATGCACCCAGCCACTGCTTGGCTCCTGTTTCAGGACGTACTGCGCCGAGCACTGATGCCTACACCCCGATGGCGTGCAAGTAAGGCTAATCAATAGCCACCAAGTCGGCCACATAAATAAGGCCGCTAACTGCTCCTCGGCTTCCGTGTGAGGCCTCAGTATACGGGCTACCAACACTAATTTCGGGCCAGCGGTAGTAATAAATGAACGCCTGATGAAGCACAGCGTCTTCTGGGCGCACCACAAAGGAGGCCGCTCTAACCGTAACCGCTTGCGAGCCGCGCTACCTCTTATTCATGCC